ATCATCACGTTTGTCGGTACAAATAGCGTGCGGAATTGGTGGACGAACCTTTGGTGTGCCATGCGGGAGCTTCCCCCGGTGTTTGGCGTACAGGCGTATGTTCACAGGGGTTTTTTGGAGCTACTGGAGTCGATTGCGTTTGAGGAGGTTGCCAAGGACTTTGATCAAATTATCCTTATAGGCCACAGCATGGGTGGGGCTCTTGCGCAACTCGCCGGTCTCTACTTGGCGAACGAGAGGCCTGAGAGACGTGTCACGGTCTTGACTGTGGCCTCGCCTCGTGTCTTTGCCTCCCGTCAAGGGTTTTGGCAAAGAATTGCTGGTTGGGTTTTCATTCTCAACGGGAAGGGGAATGATGCGGCGATTGCACTTCCCAGCAACTGCCGTCATATACGTACCTTCATGTGTGCGGATGTGGTTCCGCGGCTACCTCCTGCCTTTCTTGGATACCAGCATTTGGGCACACCGCTGCCGCTGCACACGGGATGCCCCACGCGCATGTCTTATTTGGGTTGGGGGCTGTGGTCCTGCTTGTTTCACACTGCAGATATGTACAAGGCGGTGCTGGAGCGACCTGCCGTGGCACAGCTTCACAGATACGAAGCTATGTCTGCATCTTGTGCGTGCTGAATATGGCGATCGGATAACTTTGCAGCGTGCGTGGGGTGGGTGTTGAAGACGAGGAGGGAGTTCAGTATGACCGCGGTGTATTGAAATAATAATAAACAACAGCAACAACAACAACAACGAATCCTCGTTTATTCTGCTCTGCCGCTGTCTTCGTTTATGTGGCATTTTTGTGCGAATGTGAGTTTCCATCACCTCTTTTTCGCGTTGTCAGTGGGACTTGCTGGTGCCTGCCACGTCTTTTTTTTTTTTTTGTGTGTGTGTGTGTGTGTGCGCACACCTTTCTTGTCTTCTTTTCTTCCACCGTTTTCCCGTGTTTTTGTGTTTAGCAGAGGAAGGGGAGAGAGAGAACTACAGGCTCCGCGAATATGGAGTCCAAAAAGAACGCTCACAGACTGAGCCGCATATTTCGCAAGCCAAAAGTAATGGTAGCACCGCGTAGTTGGAGAGAGGACGGTGGTGAAAATACTCTGCACAGCGGCGTGCCGCTCTCGTTGCTGAATGCGATGGTGCATGAACTTACGGATGATGACAAGACGCGCGTGGCGGCCCAGCAGGATCCCCCTTCCGTTCTACAGGAGGAACTTGCCAAACGCGCAGCTCGCTTTGGGCTCGCCGTGGGCGGTCACAACGGCAATGGTGGGGACGCGGCGGCTGGAGATGACTCGATGCGGAAGCGCATGGAGCGCTTTGGTACGACGGAGCCGCCGCCGCTGCCAGTTTTGGTTGTGGACGAGGCGACACTGAAGTCACGCGAAGCTCGCTTCAAATCAGAGGAGGCAAAGACGATGGATGAGGCGATGCAGAAGCGACTGGCACGGTTTGGAGCAGCTCCGGCGGTGGTGGAGTTGAAACTGTCAGAGGCCGACCGCGAGGCGATGGCAAGGCGCGAGAGTCGTTTTGCCTCCTGCTGAGTTCCCTCTCAACGAAGGAAAAAAAAAAAAAGAAAAAAAAAAGGAGAGGAGAATAAGACTAAGGAAGGGAAAATGGAAGATAGATGAAAGGTGGCGATATCGAAAAGGAAAGTGGATTAAAAAGGAATGGGGTGCTGAGGAATAGCGCGCATGGGACAAAAAAGGAATGGTGAAGAGCTCACCCAGGCTTTCATGATTGACGAAGTGAAGGCCCCGCCTCGCCTCGCCTCGCCATGGGCGGGTTGTAGCGTTTGTCTCCGCTTGGTTTGGCTTTTTTTTTCTTCCTTGTGAATTTTGTCGTTGCCTGTTTGTGTGCTTCTTCTCTGTTTTCTCGTTCTCACTCTGTGCGCTGCCTCTGTTTGCTTTTTCTGTTTTTTTTTTGTTTTTGTTTTTGCTTACATGATGCATGCGTTCCATTTGCTTGTTGGGAAGCTTGTTGTGCCATCCCCTGTTCGTCTGTCTGGGAGGCTGTGCATGGCTGCGCGCGACCCCGGCGGCAAGACAAAGCAGGGTCCCCAGCAGCCGGTTCCGGTAGAGCTGACGAGTTTAGTCCCGGTGCGGGTTGTCAGCGTGCACGGTGACTTCTTCGATACGGAACTGCACCAAGACGCCCCCATGCGCATCCTGCAGCAGGCGGTGGAGGACTGTTTCAAGGTGCGTCCAGAGCTCCAGCTGCTCACCCACAATCGCCAGCAAATAAATCCGAACCTCTCGCTGAGACGAAATGGCTGCTTGTTGTTGAAGGGGGATCCATACGTGAAGATTGTTGTCGACATCAAAAAAGGGACAAGGTTGAATCTTGTCTGCCAGGTACCCCATCAAGAATCCATTCCGCTGGCGTGCGAGGGCGCAGAGACGGTGTGGGACTTGAAGAAGAAATTGTGCACTGCTCTCTCCAAGGCAGAGCTGACGCCGCAACGAATCCGTTTGTTCTGGCGGTACTGGGAACTAAACGACAAGGCGACACTAGATTACTACCAACTTCCTACAAATGCAAAACTTTCGATGATGAAGAAGCGCGGGTTTGTTGCGAAATTGCAACCACAACGAAAGCTGCGCACAACAGGCGTCTCATTGGCGCTGGAAGAGGAGGGGGGAAAGATTTTTGGTGGAGCTGATATGGTGGAGACGCCGCGGCATTGTCCTTCCACTGAAATAGAGATGAAGCCACAGACGCTCACGGAGCCGACGGCGTCTGTATCGCCCTGGCCAGCGCCGTTGAGGCAGTTGGGACACGCCGTCATTCCCATTGATCCGGCTGCAGGGCACCGCGCCACGAGTTCAGCAGCAGAGCTGGCATCTGAGGCAAAGGCGCGTCCAGCCAAAGATGCGGAACCGGCGAAGATTTCAACCTCCTCGGGCCCACTGGAAATTGCCCAGCTGAAACAGGGAGTTGCCTCACTTGAACGTCGCATTGCAACATATGGTGTCGACCGCGCAGATCACGAATTGCTTGAAGAATCCTATCGCGCCACGCTGGGGCGAGTGGCGGAATTGGAGGCCACCATGGGTCGCTTCCAGAATCTGCTACGCCGGGCACTCACCCTGATGTGAGCCCTTTTCAGGCTGCAGGGCGAATTTTCTCTGGATGTGGAGCTCTGTGAGGCATGCTTTCTTTTCCTTTTCGTGGCGTGTGTGTGTGTGGAGGGATGATGGGAAGACGGGTGCATTTCGCAGTCGTCGTTGCTTGAGACGCTTGTTGTTGTCATTTGGCTGTTGTTTTCCTTGTTGCCGTTCCTCAGCGCGCGGGCCGGACAAGGAAAAGAAAGAGGCAAAATGATGATAAACAAACGCCCCAGGTGGTTTTAGCCGCCGTCGTCGAGCGTTCCTGTCGCAGCTTGCGAAGGTGGTGGTTATGTTGCGGCGCCGTGTTGTGCTGCTCCCTCTCCTCGTGTGGCTGCAGTCTCTTTTCACTCTTTCCTTTCTCTTCCCTTTTCCGTTTCCCCTCCCACAAACAAGGTCTTTGCTACTACTACTACTGCTGCTGCTGCTACTACTCAAGCCGAGCCATCAGATGCACCACGTCCACGCCATGCGCCCGCCACGCCACGCCACGCCACGCCGCTGCTGCCGCTGCTGTTGTGGCTCGTGATGGAGAAATACGGCCGGCTGCCAACTGCGGTGGTGCGTGAGGTGCCGCGCCGGGGACGGGGCGCCGTGCAGGCGTACACCGCCGCCAGCGAGGATGGGGACGATGGCTGGGCTCCGATCCGCATCAAGGTGTCCGCGGAGGACATGTACAATCCGTTGAGGCACTGCACTGCGGCGGGGGATCTGCGCATTGACCACGGTGGCCGCGTAATAACATGTGAGGAGGACGACGTGTTGACGGAGGAGAGGAGGAGCATTGTTTTGAGGCAAATTCTCCCCGCCGCCATTCAACTGCACTCGGAGCGTCTCTCCGTGAGGCCCGTGACGCGCCCCGTCGTTATTCCTCGAACCGGTCTGGGCTTGTGCGATAACTTCACCATCCCACACAAGCACCACACGGTGGGTGTGGCTGGCACCGACATGATTATCTACGCGAACGGTTTTCCGACTTCTGGTCCAAGCGCATGGGCGGTACCGTGCTTCATGCTGGGTGATGGTCGTCCATTTGCTGCTGCCGTGAACTTTGACCCGAAGAAAGTGGCGGTGACAAATGGAGACGTGCGTGTAGCGGCCCACGAGTTGGGGCATGCTCTTGGGTTTTATGTCCATGATTTTGATGTTCAATATGATTTCCGAGGTCCCGAACGTGCGTGGGATGCTCAGGGTGTCGGTGATTTCAACGCCGAAGACGAAGGCAATGGCGCGTCAGTACCACAACTGCCCCACACCTGAGGGCATTGAGCTGGAGGACGAGGGTGGTCCTGAAACTGCACTTTCGCATTGGAAGAAACGCAGCATGAGGGAGGAGCTGATGACTAGTGATGTGGGGGTAGGGCTGTACTCGGCACTGACGCTTGCAGCGTTTGAGGACATGGGTTTTTATTTGGCGAACTACAGCGCGGCGGAGATGTTGTGGTGGGGCAACAACTCTGGCTGTGGGCTGCTGGAAAAGAAGTGCTTGACCGACGGCATCAGCGAATACCCTGATCTGTTCTGCAATCAGTTTGACGTCTATGATTTCTGCACGTACGACCGTCTGTCTCTGGGGCGCTGTAAAATGAAGAGGCACGAGGAAGCCCTGCCAGAGGAGTATCGGTACTTTGCTGATCCCCGAGTTGGCGGTGATGACCTCCTCATGAGCAGATGTCCGTATGTCAAGGAGTATTCTGATACTGGGTGCACCAACGGCGATCCTTCCCTAATGGCTGGCAGTGTTGTTGGCCCGAACTCGCGGTGTGTGAAGGGGCAGGACCTTCAATTCGACGACGAATATATTGGCGATGTGTGTGTGGACACTCGATGCGGCGACGGCACCCTGAGCGTGCGATTTCTTCTTGACGATGCGTGGCACGAGTGCCAGGAGGGTGAAACCGTCACGCCGCCATCGGGTCCCTGGCGTGGGAGCATTGTGTGCCCCCAATACGCCGATGTGTGCGCCGTCTTCCCGAACATCAGCAGCCACCCAATACCGGTCGTTGACCCGCCTCTAGCGGACGACCCGCCATCCGCGGAGGGTGCGGAAGGAGACGAGGGTGAGGTTCCGAGGAAGCGGCAGCGGCGACTCTGATTCCGGGATTTTGCCGCCAATAAATTTATTGGGCAGCGTGGATGAAACAATTATTGTGCGATGTGCACCGTCATAGTGCGGTGCTTTAGCGCATGCGAGTTTCCCTGGGGGGCTTATTTGGTGTATTGTATTTTTAATTTTTTGTTGACTCGGAGGAGTTTTTTGTAATTTTTGGGCACCCCAAAAAAAATTTATTGGAGCTTCCGGGGTTTGAACCAAAGTGGGCTTTTTTAGCCGTTCGTTTTGATTTAGTAAATCATGGAGCGGTGGTCTCTCCGGTGGCCAGTGGCGTCGGAGGGATGGCGGCTTTAGGATCTTTAATTTTTCTCGTTTTTTTTTCGCGGTCTTTTGTTTGGCATCGCCGTATCGCGTGTGCGGCGGAACTTTCTTTTTGGCTCATTGGTCATTGAGGTTTTTAATAAATTGGATTATTTAGGTTTTTGGCCCTTTGCGCACCCGCAGAATGGGAGGGATTCATAATGGTGTGTACATGTGTGTGTGGGTCGCACAATTTGTGTGTCATGCTGTGTGCAATGCTTATTTTGCGTGCTGCGTGTCCTTGTGTGATTCCACTTGTGTGTGTTACTCCATCGTCTCTCCCTGCCGCGTGGGCTGTGCGTAAATTGTGCTTCGCATTAGCGGAAAATAAGAGGAATCAACGTGTTCTTTTTTTTTTTCAGAAGGGGAGTCAAAGCGCCGTGTGGATGCCAAGTCTGTGCAAGAGTTAACTATTATTACTACTACTCTACTACTGCTGCTGCTGCTGCCACTCTACACATACGCGCAGGTACACATATGCAAATACACCTGTGTGTGTTATGGTTATGTGTGTGTCTGTGTGGGTGTGTGTTGGTGATGGGGGTGGTAGTAGTATAGTATGTAGTATATGGATAGTGTACGGCAAAAGGCAAAGACACAAGCACGGCGAGTACGACGAACAAACCCATTCCACACATGAGTGTGCGCCACACGCGACTGCTCTCTTCTTCTACTTTGCCACCCCATATATATATATATTACATATATATTATATAAGGGTGTGTGTGTGGGGGGGGGGAAGAGGAAATGATTGCGTGTGTGTCGCCGCCACGAACCTGCCAGATGCTTTCTTACGGTATTTTGTTGCATGCACCCGCGTACACACATATACACAAAAAAAAACACCGATATGATGGCGAGTGTGCGATTCTCCTCTTATTATTTTTTTCTTTTTCCTCTTTTTTCTGCTCTGGCTATGTGCCAATAAAACACTCCTCTTATATGTGTGTAGTGTGTTATTGTCCGCGCCAGAGTGGAAAGAGAGGAAAAAAGAATAAAAAGTAGTAAATAGTGGAGGACTGCTTCGCAGCTGCCCTGCCGCACTGCTTTTGCTGCTGCTGCTGCTGGGTTCGCGCAACGCGATGCTCTCTGTTGAGTGAAATCTCATCACAAAAGCACCCCTCAGACTGGTGAAGTGTGTACAAATGCGTGTGTGTGTATACAACACATTTGCGAATAGCATACCAGGGAAAAAGGACACAAACAAAAGGAATTTTGTGTGTGTGTCCTCTTTCGTGCGTGCTGAACTCTGTGTGTGTGCTGCCGTTTTGTTTGCAGCTTGAAATG